TGTATAATATGAATAATAAAACATTCTATGTTGGACTTATATCTTGTCCAAAATCAAGTTAATTTTCTTATTAACCTGAATCATTTCTTAATTCTGTAAATAACTAATACATAACTGAAATATTCTCAATGTGAATCGGTTAAATATTAGGATCATTATTAATAGAAGTAAACATTTATTTGGATCTAATTCAAAGTTATTAGAATTCCAATAAAAAATATACATAGCCTACCTGATATATTCCACATTCTATATTATAATTTTAATAACAGACTGTAATGTTTCGAATTTTGAATGAGTAGTGAACATTAAAGTTGAATAAATTGTGCACTAAAATTTTATCATAAGTCTAGCCAGAAAAGCCTTTGTGGAAGATCACTTTGACGTTTCTCTCTATCTCAGCTGTTAACTTGAAAAGTCCACATCTAAGGTTCAGTGAAAATTGACCTGGACATTGTAACGGTATCATGGTGGAGAGTACATTAGAGTTACCAGTCATAATCGCGGTAAAAGAACATCATGTCAAATAATTGATCTTTAAAGAAAAGTTGAGTGTATCGTATTAAAGGCTATCAGAATCTGACGAAACACATGATTATTTTGGAGGAAGATTAGAAACACTTGCCTTCGATTGGTCAGTTAAAATTAAAGTGTATGCTTTGGAAGTTATGGGAGTTTAAATTCGCCGACCTTAGTCAAAATTAGTTAGACCGAATTTGCCTGGTGAGAAGACAAAAAGGCCCGGCTCCGTGGGAAACCTAAGAATAGAGTTTTCCCTTGTTAACAAGTAAAGAGGCCAGATAGCTGGATTGAAAGGAAAATACAAGATACAGTGCTAGGACGCACGATTGCGTGGAAAAGAAACAACATTAAGGCATGCAATTTTAATTTCCATATATTTTATTTCGTTTGTTTTGTTTTATGCAGATGTGTTTGATACGACTATGATCCATTTCATAGAAATCTGTTGATATGCTAGAATTGTCATGCAATTTATTTCTTAAATTTCACAGTTATTAGTTCATTGATACAATTGACGGATTGTATGTAATCTAAATTTCAGATGTTTAGTATTTCATAGGGTTATATGAATTAATCCTAATTTTCAGATGTGTACTATTGTATAGGGTCATATGAATTAATCCAAATATTCAAATGTAAAGAATTTCTTATGGTTATAGGAATTGTTTCTTTATTCTATAGGATGATACTGCTTGCATATTTTTATATGATTTTTAAAATGCTTCAGTGATTTATTAGGATATTGGTTACTGTAAGCTAGCATTCAGTGAATCTTATACAATATTAATCGATCATGTAGCTTATTGAGTGGAAGTGACTAGTTAAATGTCTAAGGAGTCATGCAGATATATAAGGCAAATATGTTTATATACACCGCTCTCATGTAATTCGCTGCTGTGAAGTGAAATCTAGTTAGGCCAGACTTGGCTGTATATATGGATGTATATTACAGGGGTCATTTGAAAAGACCGTTAATCGTACAGGTCACCTTATGCCAAAAGTTATGCAGTGTGGATAGCTAGTTATGATAGTAATGAGTAATGAAAGTAAGAGAATTTTATGTACGGATAGGAGGATACACATAGATATTTTGTGGCAATTTTTCCATTTAAAGAAACGGCTCTCTCTCTCACTCCCATAGAAACTGACGGGATACTCTAAAAGAGAGATGCTCAAGAAAGGAAGGAAGAGTCGATATAGAAAGATAAGAGGAAGAACGAATACGGTATTAGGACATCTCCCCACAGACATTCTCCCCTGGCTTCCTCCCCACATATATCCCCCTGGACTTCCCCCATCAGATAGGACTTTCCCCACCCCGTAAATCCCCCCATTATCTTTATACAATTATATATATATATATATATATATATATATATATATATATATATATATATATATATATATATATAACATTTAGCTTTCATGTACACTCTCATCCCGCATCACCATTAGTGCACAGGTATGACTGTTGTCACCTGAAATAAATGTAAAATATATACTTTCCTGACCTACCTACCCCCCTCTCTCTCTCTCTCTTTCACACACACACACACACACACACACACACACACACACACACACACACACACACAAAAACAGACACATAATCATGGATTTTGAGGGTAGCTTGACACCACATTTGAATTGAGAACATAAATTCACACCCATTTTTAAGCATTGTTAATTATAACAAAAATGGGCATTGTCTATTTGTCAATCAATTGCTAGTGCTTTTACTGAATATAGAACAGGAGGTTTCTTTGAAGTATGTTGATGAAGCTTGAGAATAACCGTTACTTATAGTGCATTTTTGGTATATTTAAGATAAACAACAGATGGATTAGCCACCATTCAATTAATTGTAGTTGTTTCAGTACAGTACTCCAGCCAAATGTTGACATAAGCAGATTATGATGTAACAACCAAAGAAGAAATACAAAGACAGTTCTTCAAGAAGTGCAAACATTGTCACTGACTACGACAATCGTGACAACATAGAATACTTAAAAGCAATTGTTTACAACATTAACATTTAAACAATACATTTTTTTAATATGTGAAAATGTTAACTTTATTTAATACTACTTAAATTTATTTCAAAAATCTTTTTTCTTTTAACATACCTTAATATGTTTTATTTTTGATTGGCAAAATGCCATATTAAATGAATTATGTTTTAAGATCATGAGTGAAAATGACTGGGAGGGAAGTCCTATATGATGGGGGGATCCAGGGGAAAATGTCGTAGGGAAGGGAGCAAATGTCAGGAGGGAAATGTCCGGGGGGTATGTCTGGGAGGGGGATGTACGGGGGGGGGGTAGATGTCATAGTCTCGTTGGATACATAGTCAAAAGAGAAGCAACGCCAGGTGATGCTAATCAGGCGTGGATAATTTACAATTTTCACCACTTGTTACCACTATGAACGAATCCGTATTTGAACACTGCTATTAAAGTCTAATAATGTAAATCTGTTGAATTGAAGTGGCTAATTTGGGGTTATGTAATAATTAATAAAATTTTATTTTATTTACTTGTAAATGGAGCTGGTATTATTTTATTTCTTTCAATAGTCTCATTCCGTTCTCTGTTGATGTTCCATCTATCCACTCACGACGGGCAATAACATCAAGGGAGGCTATCCTCTAGAAAACGATCGTAAAACTTATTACGACTCCTCTATACCAAGAAGAACCCCTGTTTCAAAGACCTTTTAATTGTAACTAAGATTATGTTTTGTGAAATATTAAGAAGCTTCTAGCTTTGCATTAGGTAATAATATTCTTTTTTTTTAGAAAATAAGAGGATCCCATAATCGTGTTTTTGTAGTAAGTATTCATTCCTGTTTTAAGATCTTATCTGAATCAGTAGCATTACTGTTTTATCCAGAAGCTCGTATAGAATGGAATTTTTGTATTTTAATTATTTATTCACTGGAAATAGCATTCTTGGAAACAGAAACTTGGATGTATATTAAAATTTCAAATAAGGATTTAATTCTTGAATTGTATTATTTTGATCTAACAAAAGATTGCTGTTACATCACCATGACAAAGTCGACTACGGGTACATCAAAACTTTCAGCGTTGGATTTAGTTTCGATTTTCACTAACGTTTATTAGGATTTGGATCTGTAAATATATGATTATTTAAAATTTAATTCGCTGCACCGTAAGTTCTTTGTTTTTGTATTTTAGGGAAATAAAGTATTTGTTGAATTTTACAAAGCTTGTTGCTTCTTACTCTTTTCTTTTATTTATTTTAAGACCCTAGAGTCGTAATAGTACTATATATTGTTGAGCATGAATATTGTGCTGTTTGGTTTGGGGAGGGGTGTTTCTTTCTAATGGGGAAAATCAATCTGCCATGTACATCAGAATTATGACTTAACAGAAAAGTTGAAACTATTTTCCAAGGAACGTTGGTCTAAAACAACCCAATCGGGTTCCCTTATCCATGAAAGGACAAGAGGAACTCCAATTAACTTTCGTTTCGTACACAAAAAACAGCACGTGGATATCAAACATTCTGAAAGCAAGACACCAAAAATGTGCACAGTCGGAAGACGAAAATTTTAAAATATGACATGAATATTACAGACCGGAAGTTAGGAAGAAAGAAAATTATAATTTGTCTTGGTATCTTACTATTAGGTGAAAACTTGTTCTTGCTGTCTAATTTGGAGGACGATGTACATGAATTATATTTTTCAGACTCAATTTTCCTTCAATAATAATTTTTAAAATGCAGATCTTTGAATATACTTGTTTATGTCGAACGGATAGTTGGTATAATTCCTTTGCCTTGTTCGTAATACTGCTACCGTCTTCCTAAATTCCCTTCAACATTTTAGGCATTCCAGTGAAAAGAAATATACATTTCCGGACACGGGTGGAAAGTGAGAAAAGATAAATATTCATTTCATTTTTTCCCCCTGTTTCTTTGTGTAGGGGAAAACAATGGATACAAAATTCTTGGTAATAATTAGAAACTAAAGTTCTGCAGAAAAGGAGAGAAACCTGGATGTGGGCTTGGGGTTGGCTGTTTAGTGGGAAATAGAAAGGAATCCCTCAAAGGTACTAAATATAAATAATCTTGTCTTATTTATGAATGAACAGTGGATATGGCTATTTTTCAGGAAACTGTTGAAAACACATCTAAAGTCGGACTCTAAAACGGCTGTTGTAATACATATAACCCTGGAATATATGTGAGTGTGTGATTTGGATTTTGTAACGTAGTTTTAACGATTTTTCAGTTATATATATATATATATATATATATATATATATATATATATATATATATATATATATATATATATATATATATGCGATGTCTGCAGTTCATAGTGATGCCGAGGATATATAGTATGATGTCCCACCAAGTTAAATTATCCTGACACCTATCCGACCAGTCCTAACACTAACCTCTTAATGCTGAGCGGCTATGAGTACCATTTTTATTTCTTTGGTATGACTCAAAAGGGGATCGAACCCACGACCTCCCGCATCCGGGGCGGACGCTCTAAAAATTTGGCCACCGGAGCTCATGTGTTAAACCTAGAATACACGCATTCGTTACAGAAATTAATCAATACGCGGAGTGATTAGAGATACACCATTCAAAACTATCACAATTAAGACAAAATAGTCGCTTTGGATTAGCCACATTTAAAACAAAATACTATTCTTAGTTGAAATGTATGGAATCAGAGAGAAGGGACTTAGTATTTACAACTTGCTCCATATCTGGAATTCGACTTTCAATTTTGATCTTTTCGAATCGGTAGAATTCGACTGGATCTTCTTTGAAACTTATACGGTTTCTATATGATTACAACTCTTCAAATTTGCCCCACTCTATCCTATTTGCAAAACTATATTGGTCATTGTGTACATTTTCTTTTTTTTTATAACGTAGTCAGTTGTCAGTACCTTTCTTGTAGGTGATGTCATTCCATTCTTATTCAATCTGATTCGAATCCTTGCTGTTGTGGGGCAAAATTAGAATAATCTATTCAGTCAGATTCGACGTTTTGCTCCTTGTTGAGGGAAACTGACTATGTCTGCTAGGGGTGCTGATAATATATTTAGAATACTATTTGTAAACATTGTCTACTTCTGCGTGTGTTGCAGCTCGGAGAGCTGGTTAAGATACCAAGAGCACTATTTTTAGAAACACACTGACTGGGTTTCTTTTTTTTTTTTGTTCCAGATAGTCTTTAGGGTCATACGGCTAAAAATGACTCTTTTAAAACATTCTGACTGGCTCTGCGTTTAACGTACTCATTTTACTCTTTAGAAAGCATTCGACTGTTTCTCTCCGCATTACAGCTGCATATATGTAATACGGTCAGATCATTGTTTTTAACATACAGGCTATGCGTTACAGTTGCATGCTGTTGATATACTGAAAACACTATTTTTTTGTGAGCGTGTGAGATTCACTTTGTGATGAACTTTGGAATTAGTTTCAACAATGTGACAAATAATTTAATTCACCCCATAAGACTGAAGAAGAAAACAAACTGGGCATTACAGTTTAGCATTATAATTTACAATACTAGAGCAAAACGTTGCATTATAATACAAAAATGACTGTCCTGTTATGTTCTGAGGAATAATTGAATAAAGTCCTGAACGTGATTATATATCATTCGTTGATGTTCTCCAAGGTTAATGTATGTTATTCATATCACTCCAATGGAAAATAATCATTAATACTGAAATATAAACTTCACATCTTTTTGTAGACAATATGCGCTGAAAATATCAGAAAATGGCCCACCGAGTTTTAAATTAATGGACACATTCCTCAAGTGTTTATCAAATGGTTTCATGGACGAAATGCCAAAATGTCTCCGGAAAGGTGAAGGTTCAAATGATGTACAGACCGAGAAGTTGTGTACAGGGGTACATTGCTTTACTCAATTGCCTCAGTATGATAAAACATATCAAGTTTTGATATGCCATGAAACTAAAAAGAACACAAACAAGCAAACAAACTTTAATTCTCGGGATTGGAAACGTGGTATTCTTTTCTGTTTGATTACCCACTTGCTGAAATATTTATATAATCAAATAAAGCCTATTTAAAAAAAACAATCACAACGTTGTTGCTCAGTTTATACACATGCAGAATAATTGACCAATAGTCTTGAAGATCATGTGATCGTTTATGAAAGGGGAAGGTACTAAAAAACCTCTTTTTGTCCTAAAAATTTACAATTTTTCAAAAAAGGTAACACAATAGAAAAAATTTCGTCAACATTTGAAACCTAAAATTTCACTTCATATTTAAAAATTGTTTAGATATGACACAATAGGCAAGAAATGTATACGTCACATTTGCTATAAACCAGCCATTTTGTACTAAAGATGGAGCTGTTTTTATAAAATTAAGATGGCACACATGACATGCGACAACCAATTTTATATTTTTAGAGAATAGAAAAGTATGCATCAATCAGAACCTGTAAAATAGATTTACTCTTAGATTAGTATATACAATACACAAACATATATGTGTTTAATTATGAATACTCGTGACTGTGCTTAAAGCCATGCATAAATACATATAATACATGTATTCAGCAAATGTTTGTCTTTTGGGTGCTTTAGGACAAAATAAAACAAGCATGTTATTTAGTGCTTAGGCCATTATAGTGCTCTACCCAAAATACACGCCACAGCAGCCGACCCGGCTGATCCAATTGTAGGAATTGAATCCGTACCCTTTCTATCACGAGTCTTGCACGTCAATCAGTGAGTCACTGTGGACGCTACATCGATCAGCAGCCACTTATAGTGCATCTGACCCATTCTATGTCGTCTGAGCGCATTCAAATGGGTGGGTAAGGGAGACATATCACGTATATCGAATCATCTGTCGTTATAGACGTGCTGTCCACGAATAATCAGAAGTATTTGGGATAATCTAGAAGGCATAGAATTGGTGGCGGCCCGAGGGTTCGAGGCATAAGGTGGCAGCGTTTTTTTTTTAGTGGCTCTCTTTCTTTGCTACAGAGAAAAGTTTTGTAAGTTGCCAACCTGCAACCCCACCTCTAATTTGTGGGGGAGGGTTACTTGTTTTTTTTTTTAAAGATTTGCCTCCCAATAAATTAAGGTGAGGATAATGTAGTAAATTTCAACTCTTAAATGAAACAAGCTCATTACGGTTCCCTCTTTCGCCTGGTGCATGCGGTGGGTGGGTTGGCAATTGCCCCATTTTAAACCCTAATATAGCACCTTACTTAATAGAATCTAAAGAAGGAAGCAAAACTTACACTTGTAGTTTATACCATTTGTTTTAACAGGCTTTATATAAATTTCCGTACTTCTTAAGAAACGTGAACAAGAATGACGCCGTAATTGTTCCAAAGTCGTTTTAAGGCAGTATAACACAATATTTTTTTTTCTCATTTTACTTCATTATTTTTATTGTTAAATTATCTGAAATCAGTAAGAGCTTGGCAGCATGATGGATAAGTACACAGCAAGAAGTAAAATCAAGTGGCACACTTTAACACACGTTTCTAAACTACATTTACACACCTTCAAATCAATATCTGAATGGAAGCATAGGGAAATGCCATGTGTGAAGAGTATTTTGAAACGTTGTGTTGTTTTCTATCTCTGTAAGAATGAAAATTTGTTAGGTTATTTATAGAGAAATCGCATCATGAGAGAGATACTAGACGAATGAGAAATATGTTGCTCAACCATTTACTTTGGTTTCTTAAAATAAGCCACATCTGACACGATATACTGCCACAGGAACCGCGTATGTACTATTCCCCAATAGTGAGAATACATTTGCACATGATATCTTCTGTCTGCTTTTTGTTCCAAAAGTGTCTTGTCGTCTCTTAGGCTTCAGGAGTCATCAATTCAAGGGAGGTAACACAAATAAGCACATGATCTCCTCCGAGTTAGTAGTCTCCTTTCTTTAGTTACACTGCATATTGTGTTTTATTTTCGAAACTTTGTCACTTGAAAATGTAATGCATTTTGTTTACTAGAAAACACAATACCAGATAACCGTACCTGGAATGAGGAAGGGAAAGATTTCCATTTTGATACATACTGTAGATACATATGTCTACTTTAAAAAGAGTCCCATCAAAAGGTTTTGATAGAGTCGTATTGACCGTGTGCGTATTGATAGTGTCATATTGACCTTTTATCACATAGTCGGTCTTGTTTTCCTACCGTGCGTGCAGGTTCATATTTTTGATATTATAACATATGAGCATATAACTTTATGTGATTCTGATTGGTCCAGATGTAATCATGAAATTATGGATTAATGTCTTTAATGATTGGCTGCGACCGTGGGGAAACGTTTTTAACCCAACTTTCTGGAATGTTTTGTTCGGAATGAACATTTTTTGGCGGCTATTTTTTTAAAACTCGTCTCGTAAATGGACATCGAGGAAATATCATATTGGCTGTCTCAATATGGATATGCTACTCCCACAGGGGTTCATTATGTCATGTTTAACAATACCATCATAAGAAAAATGTCATAAAATAACAAGACAAGAACGACAATAACGAATACAACTAAGGTAAAGCGGGTTGGGTGGTTGGGGTGCGTATATCAGTAACATAGATATAGAATCCACCGTATATACAAGCGTGGTTTAAATGTTAACGAAGTAAACAAACTCATCTCTGTTCGGAGAAAAATCTGGACATGAATGGGTCTCCTAACTGACAGATCTTTATCCAGCCACATCATTTTTACGTAGCATGTATGGGTTGTAAATCCGATACGAAAATAAATTTGTTGACTTCTTTTCAGTCTATTTTTCAAATCAAACACTACAAATAACAGGTCACAAATGCATTGCAGTAAATGTGGGACATTTTGCATCCGGTAATCCTATTTCCACATAAAAATCGCAACAATGTAACGTTTTTAAACACACATTTTAGGGTACACGTATATTCTACAGTCGGCCTGCTATACTGCGAATACGTACCGTAAAACAATGTGGCAGCATCAGATCATATTTATAATTCTGTTTTGAAAAATGATTTTGTAGTTACAAAATGTTCTGTTTTTTTTTGGATGGAAGCTTTTTTTATGGTTTGTAAAACAGTACAATCTAATTTTACCAGTTCAACTTTGTTTAAGACTATATTTTATGCACAACAAATGAAAGGTACACCGTCTGTAAGAATGAACGAAATTATTCATTCTTCTATCAATCTAAATAATTTCCATTTAAAAAAAAAGCTATGTGATAAAAAGAATCTCGAATGGGTAACGATTTAATATTAAATTTATGAAACTCGTTGAATAATGTCCAGCTTTTGCGAGCTTTGGCTCAACTTGTTTCATAAATTCAATATCAAGTCGTTGCCCATTTGAGATCCTCTATATACGTATTGGTAGTGTCGTATGGACTGTATACAATAAACATGTGCTTGCATTGAACGAACCATTTCTGGCTACAGCCAAATAGAACTGTCGACAGAAACGTAGAACCCGGATGCTTACCAGATGCAAACATTTACCATTTTTATCTGACACCAGTCCC